GAAGGCTGATTCAGCTGGGAACCTTCTGGATTTATAACCCCACCGCTTCGTCCCCTGGCGACCTGGAGCCCCAGTGTGCTGGTGTTTACTGCTAATTGTTTTCAGACAGATGGCATGGCCCAGAGTCTAATTCCCCAGTCTAGGGGGCGGGGATGCTGGGGGAGGAGGCCATGCCCTTGACCGCTGCTTGCATTCTTGAAGAAAATGTTCTGGGTTGGGGGGTGGGGGGTGGGCAGTGACAATGGTGAGGGCTTACGGAAGGGAAGCATGTCAAGGCTTTGGGAAGGGAATAGGGGAGGGTTTTTCTGTTTGTTTTAATATTAATTAATTAATTTATTTATTTTAGCTTCGCCGGGTCCTCTTAATTGTGACACACGGGATCTTTTAGTTGCAGCATGCGGACTTCTTAGTTGTGGCACGCATGCGGGATCTAGTTCCCGGACCAGGGAACGAACCTTGGCCCCCTGCGTTGGGAGCGCAGAGTTTTACCCACTGGACCACCAGGGAAGTTCCAAAGAGGAAGTTGTTTTTTTTGCGGGGGGAGGCGGGCGTACGCAGACCTCTCACTGTTGTGGCCTCTCCCGTTGCAGAGCACAGGCTCCGGATGCGCAGGCTCAGCGGCCATGGCTCACGGGCCTAGCCGCTCCGTGGCACGTGGGATCTTCCCGGACCGGGGCACGAACCCGCGTCCCCTGCATCAGCAGGCAGACTCTCAACCACTGCGCCACCAGGGAAGCCCCCGAGGAGGGAGTTTTGCAAGGAGCAAGTCAACCCTAGGGTTCAAGAGACTGATAAAGCTGGGTGAAGAACGCCCCCTTCTCCAGGAAGTCCTCCTGGATTGAAGTCTGTGTGGCAAGGAGAATCTCTCCTTTAGGGTTGGATTTAGGGATGGAAGGAAGTAGGAGATTTGTTGGGAGGGTGGAAGACCCGTCCACAACCTAATAAGCAGCCCTCACTTTTTAATATGATTGCAATATAATTCAAGGGCTTACAGAGTCATCGTCATTTCACTGGATCCCATGAGTGCCAGGCATGAATGAAGATGCCAAATTACAAGTGAGAAAAAGAAGGTGGCCTCTGAAAGGGTAAGTGACTAGCCTGAGGTCACACAGTCAGTCCACAAAGGTTCACTGAGCACCCACTGTGCCGGGGACACAACAGACAGCAGAGGGCAAGACCAACAACCTCCCCGCGCTCACAGTTTCCAGGTTTGTGAGAGGAGGCACACATTCATTCACAAAAAAGTGAGTTCAGAAATAATAAGGATTGGAAAGAGATAAAATAGGGAGATGAGGAGTCAGGGACCTTAGGGGAAGGTCAGGGAGGGCTTCTTGGAGGAGGCAACCTTTGAGCTGAGCCTTGAAGATGGAGTAGGACCCAGACGTGCCTAATCTCAGGGGAGGAGCATTTCAGGCAGAAGGAAGAGTAAGTGCAAAGGCCCTGAGGTAGGAATGAGCTTGTTGTGCCCAAGAAACCAAATAAATAGCCAGTGTGACTACAGCAGGGTAAGAGTCATGGGAGGTGAAGTGTGGGACGTGGTGGGTCTTACATAAGAGCTGCGGCTCTAAAGCCTGTTGGCCAACATCACTGGCCACCAAACACATCCACAACTGAGTGAAACTGGTGAGCCAGAGATTATAACTCTATGTTCCGGCTAATGAAACCAGGGCCCCCTCTGAGAGGGCAAGTCCCAAGTCAGTCACCAGCTGACGTGCAAGAGAATTGAGATTTGAGTGGGTGTCCTGACTCCCTCAGCAAACTCAAGGCAGAGAAAGTAAGCCTGGCTTCCACGGGAGGCTCTGCAGAACTTCTGAAATGCGTGCCAATTTTCTGTGTGTGACAGTTAGATTGAACAATGGTTGGAAATCTCTTGAGCCAGTGGCTGACACATAAGAGAAAACCCAACACTCCCTGGTGTAAACAGAGGAGAGAATTTATTGGGTCATGTAACTGGAAAGTTTCAGGGGAAAGTGACTTCAGGAACGGCTGGATCCAGGGACTCAAAGGTTCCAGGAGTCACTCTCTCTTCATCTCTCAGTCCTGTTTGCCTTTGCAGCCTCTCCCCAAAGGATGACAGAAGCACCCCAGGAGCACCTAGGATGATCAGCAGCTCAGCAAACTCCACATAGACAAAGCTTCTCTACTGCAGTAATTTCAGCACACGTTGCAGGGCTGACTCTCATTGCTTCCCTTCGGGTCAGATGGCCATCCCTGAGCCAATCACTGTGGTCAAGGGAATGCACTTTGCTGATTGGCCATCCCTAGAACTTGGGTTGTGGAACCCCTCCTTCTCACAGGCTGCAGTTGGGAGAGAGATGGTCCCAAAGGAAAATGGAGATGCAAAAGCCAGAAACAGGAGGAAAGGATGCTGGGGAGGCCGAAGCAAGCATGCCCACTGCAGAGTTGGAGGGCGTCTCCTTCTGCATGCCTCCTACGGCCATGTCAGTGTCAAGAGACTCCGCAAGACACAAAGGCACTGGCACTGGCAGCCCACGCAGCCCTTGCCATGCGGGGGCCCCTCCCCACCGGAAGGCTGGCAGAAGGGCTGGGTTGTAGAAGCATCCCGGGGTGGCTGTTCACAGGCCTCTTTCGATCACTGACATCTGGCCTTGCAGTGGGACCTCCTCTCTTTATTCATTCAATAAATATTCACTCCTCATCTACTTGGTGCCAGGCACTGCACTCAGCCCTGGATATATAACCATGAATGAAACAGAAGAAAAAAATCCTTCTTTCTGTTCCCCAAACATACCAAGAGAGGGCCTGCCTCAGGGCCTTTGCACATGCTGTTCTAGCTCCCTTGCCACGTACTTCCCACTTCACTTGGCCTCACTCCTACTCACCCATCAGGTCCTAGGGAAGCATCTCCTCTCTGGGAAGCCCCCTCTGTGCCCCTGGGTGAAGTCAAGCCCCCAGTTAAGCTCCCCCGCTCCATCTCTCCGTGGAAACTCTCTTGACACTCATCCCATATGGAGGGAGAAGCAGAAAGGTGTAGTGGTTAGAGCACAGATTCTGGCACCACAGGCTGCCTGGGTGCAAACCTTGGTCTCTCACTGAAAAGCAGTGTGACCTCAACCAAGTCATTTAACCTCTCTTAGCCTGCTTTTTAAAATGAGGAGAATGATAATCCCACCCATAGAGGATTAAATGAGATACTATATGTCGGTCGGGTGCGTGGAACAGGGCCTGATACATCGTATGTGATCAACAACTGCTGTTGTGGTCACCATGTGGAATTACTTGGTCACTGGACATCTTCCTTGCCAGGCTGCAGCTCTGGAGAGGTCAGGGCAGGGCTTTGCCTTGGGCGTGGTTACCCCTGGCTTGCAGGTGTACCTGGTGTTGCACGCGAGGTCTGGACGGGAAGGGAAAACGCAATCATGATGTTCAAGCTGGACGGATGTTTTGCTCTCTGAGACCTGTGGACCCTCCATGCTACACCCCAGGGGCTCCCCTCTCCCCTCCCAGGCCCCTTACTACCGGGGCTTATCTGAGCCGCACCCTGCCCCCACCCCAGCCTCCTCTAACGTCCAAGTGCAATTAAGCCAAACTTTTGATCTAAGATATTTATAAAGGCACTAAGAATGTCCTCTAACATCAGCTTATATATTCTTAATCTGCCGTTAAAGTGATTTAAAATGGAGCTCGACAGACAGGCGTGATGAAAATTAAAAGTCTCCATCACCTCGCGTCTGGCTGCGGTGCCCCTACCGACAAGGACTCGGGGGTGGGGGTGGGGGGTGGGCTGGGCACCTCCACCCCGCTGTGTGCCAGGCTCTTTCTCCAGGGCTGGGGCCGCCAGGGGCGGGGGTCTGGAGAAGGAGCCACCTGGAGGGGCTGCGCACGCGGCCTAATGAACGGTGACATCTGGTCGTCTGTTTAATTAACGAGCCGCTCTCGCTGTGGCAGGACACGGGGACCATGTCCTCTGTGCTTGCAGAGGGAAAAAAAAAAAAAGCTCAGGGAGAGAGGACTGCAAATTTACAGAATGATTTTTTTTCCTGCCTCCTTTTAGAAACCAGAGAATGGAACCCGGCTCCTCTCTTTCCTTTTCTGCAAGACAATTTCCTGGGACTCATTTCCCGAGTACCCTGGTGGGTGGACCAGCTCCCAGCCCATTCTTGTCCCTCCTCCCCACCTGCGGCCCTCCTCCCACCCAGCCCCTTCCCAGGAAAGTCTGAAATAAATGAAGGTCACAAGCACATGGGTCTGCAGCTTCCTCCAGGCCCGGCCTGAAAAGCAGTGGATCAGCAGTGAATTAAATCTCCCCATCATCAGTTCTCTCTTCCATAAATGCCTCTCGGTTCCCCTCCACCCACTGACAATGTGTTGCCACCTAAGGAGATAGCAACCCTGGGCAGGGGGAGGGATTTGGAGATGTCACGGTGACGGGCCCACCAGGTGGTGGCCTTGGAGAGCACAGCCCTGTCTGCAGGAACACTTGGTGGTGAGTGTAGGGTCTCTGCAGGGATGGATCTGCTCTGCTATCTCCCCAGGGGATCTGCCCCCAAGATGGGCAGTTCTGACCTTGCCCAGGAAGATGCTCATAGAAGTTTCTCCCTTCAACACCATGGAGATTTGGGTCTGGAGTTCAGGTGGGAGAGAATGATTTTGGATGTGCCTAGGTCCCTTTGAGACATCTGAGTGGCAATACTGAGTACACAGGTGGATAGAGACAGAAATGTGGGACTCATTGACACGTGGGTGGGTGCCAGAGCAGTGGGTGGGGGGGAGGACTATAGAATGGGGAGGGGACGGGGTTCTGACAGCCTTGGGGATCTCCCCAGAGGTAGAGAACAAGCAGCGCGAGAGACAGACCCTCAGATGTTCTCCCGCGACGGATCCCTGTCATTTTCTGGTGTTCAAGCCCCTGTGTAATCCTCTCCCCTTGTACGTGGGCAGGTTCTCAGGCTTGCTTCTCCCAGTAGAATAATTCTTAAGATCTGCAGCCTGGAGGGCACTTAATAGCCAACAGAAGAGCTCTGGTTGGGCAGAAGCAGTTCAGATCCCAGGAGGAAGAAAGGAAAATGGATTGCGTTTAGTTTCTGAGCGGTAGAGGGGAGCGCAATCCACACCCCAGGCCGAGGGACTGGCCCTTCCCGACTCAGCAGCGGACACGTGTGGGAACCCCCAGGTGAGGCTTCCGCCTTCCCAGGCAGCCTCTGTCTCGTCTAGGGTGGCGGGCCTGGGGCTGGCGGGCAGCGAGCCCAGGAAGCCCCCGTGCCACACTCCACGGCTGAGATGGGGATTCTGCCCTCGCAGCTGGGCTGACCTCCTGCAGGCGGGCCTCCGTCTGAACAAGGGCCCAGTGTGTTTCCCTAGGCGAGGATTTGGCCGAGGTTAGCCCAAGAGCCTGGTTCAGACAGGAGCCCTTTGAAGGCAGCATGAATTGGGCTCAATGTCTCCATCCAGCTGAGACTGGAGGTGGGGGGCAGGGGCCCAGCCAGAGCGGCTTCCAGAAGGCCTCTCGTCCAAGGATGAGAAGAGGCTTGGCGTCCATGCCCATCTCCGGTCCCGCGGCAGCATCCTCATGCAACAACACAACCACTGCAACAGCAATTCCCACAGCCTCTGCCAGAGCGAGCCCCGAGCAGGAGAAAGATGGTCCTGGACAAACATGTGTGATTTGTGATACTTATGCATTTGTTTTAAGGTGTACTAGATAAAAGATAGCTGGCCCATCCCATCAGCGCTTTCTCAGATTTTATTGCTTTGAGCGAGGTGACATCTATTGACACTTAAAAAGGGGCTTACTGGGAACTACCCAAATGTCCACCAGCAGTGAATAGGTGAGTGAGTTGTGGTACGTCCACACAGTGGAAAGCTGCTCAGCAATGCAAAGTAACGCCATCCTGGTCTGCACATCATGGATCTATATGTGGAGGGCTGGGGATGGAGGCCATTCTTTTCTTTTTTTCTTTTTGGCCGTGGGATCTTAATTCCCTGACCGGGGATCGAACCCAGGACCACGGCAGTGAAAGCACCGAGTCCTAACCACTGGACCACCAGAGAATTCCCTGGATGCCATTCTTCAAGGAGGAAGATGCTGAGCCTGGACGTCGCGTGGCAAAGGGGCCAAAACACAGGCTGCTCTAATGCTCCACCCCTGTGCTGGCACCCAGTCTGTGTCTATATCAAGGCAGTTGTCCCCAGGAATGTCCCCCATCACTCCTAACCCATCCATTGTCTGACTCTTATTCAGATGAACTCATTTCTCTCTCGGCTTCCCTTGGCCCTGCCTCTGGCCTCTTCAAGCCACTCCCTCCCTCACCCCCGGGCACAAATTAACCTTCCTAAAGTGCTGCTCTGATTGAGGCTCTCCCCACTGCTCGAGCACCTTCAGTGGCTCCCTATTGCCAGGAAAATAAGGATCAACTTCCTCAGCCTGGTGTTTCATGTTCCCAGGATTATCTGAGCAGCCTTCTGTCCTATATCACACACCATCCACAGCAGCTAATTTTACGCTGTTTCCTGAATGTACCCCACAAATTCTCACATCTTAGTCTGCTCTTTCCACCTCCGATGCCCTTTCCCACATCCCTGACTGTCAAATCCTGTCTTTTTTTTTTTTTTTTTTTTTTTTAAGATGCAGCTTAAATGCCACGTCCTCCTTTCTGGTCAGAATCAAACACACCCGCCTTCATGGTTTCACTGCCCTGTATCTCCAACCTGAACACCCGTATCCATTTTTCCTTGGGCCATAGTGAGTCGAGTTCCACTCTCAGGGGATCAGGATTTTAAAACAATCACTTGAGGAGGGCAATGCTTAATCCAAAGGAATTCTGCTCTGATGGTGAAACTTCAAGCACCCGTGATTACAGAAGAGGGTATAGTGTGGATCAGGGGGGCCCTCCCTGTAAAGCACTTAGACCAAAGGCCACAAACTCCAACAATTAGAGTTGAGGAGAGATGCTCTGAGCTGATGTTTGTAGGGAAGGTATCACAGAAAAGGAAGGATTGATCTGGACATGGAAGGTGGATGGGACTCAGGGAGGTGGCATGGTTCTGGGGAAAGAATTTGGAATTTGGACTTAGATAGGCTTGGACTCAAATTCTTTTTCTGCCTCATTATAGGCCAAGAGTCTTTTGCTTAGCCTAGAAACCTCAACTCAAAATGGCCTCAGTTAAAAAGAAAAGATATTGGCTTTTATAATGACAAAGTCCAAGGGTAGGGCCAACTTCAGGTATGGCTGGATCCAGGGGCTCAAGCACCGACCTCAGGATGCTATCTCTTTCTGTCTCGTGGTCATTTTTGTCTATGTTGGTTTTATTCTCATGTAGGCCTCGCCCTCAACATGGAAAAGGCATCCCAGCAGGCTCAGCTGAGCATTCATGGTGGTTAGTCACCCCCAAAATTCTCTCTTCCCAACTGTTCTAGGATTATCTCTGAGTGGACCAAACTGGGTCACCTGATGGTCCCTGAACCAATCACTGAGGCTACAGGTTTGGAAAATTCTGATTGGCCAGGCTTTAGTCACATGCCCATCTATGGACCAATGGGTGGAGTCAGACTAGCCCCAAACCACATGGTCTGAGGTGAGGGAGGGGTCATCTTCGAGGAAATGCAAGGACAGTGACCAGAAGAGGCATCCAAAGCTACCGATATTCCCTAAAACTGCTGAACAGCTGTGGGAACTTGGGCAGGTGCCTTAGACTTTCTGATCCTCAGAGCCCATGGTTGTGAGATGGGAATATTGCAGGCCGACCGCAAAGTGGAGCTGTGGAGAGTTAATGTGTGGATGTTAATGAAAGCAGCGAGCGTCCACTAGGTGCCTGATGAAAGTCCACAGAGTCAGAAGCCGGGAAGAATCTGGACTGGAATTAGAGCAGGAAATGGTGGGAGTGGCAGTGTATTTTACAAGGTGGCCACAGGTTCTTCCATTTCCCAAGCTATCTTTGCAATATGAAGTTGTCACTCCTGCAGTTGAGAGGCGGGGTCCATGTCCCTCCTCTTGGCCAGGGCTGTGGCTACGATGGAAGTGACACTATGTGACTTCTGAGGCTAAGTTACAGAAGGTGACACAGCTTCTTCCTGGCCCTCCTGAGATACTTTTTCCTACATGTTGTGAGGCCGACATGTTGTGAGGAAGCCCAAGCTGCCCGAGGAGGCCACAGTCCCAGTTGAGGTCCCAGCTGATAACCAGCATCTATTGTGTGAGTTGCAAGATGTGTGAGTGAGCAAACAGCAAGATGACCCCAGCCCCAGGGACCATGTGGCTGCAACTGAGACCTCAGTTGCAACTCGGACCCTGCCTGAGACCACCTAGCCGAGCCTCGTTGATGCCAGAACCGTGACATAATAAAATCATTGCTGTTGTTTTATGCCACTAAGTTTGGGGTGGTTTGTTACATAGCAACAGATACTGGGAAGAGTGAGCTAGTTGGAGGGATTGTGGGTGGAGGCTCTCATGGGGAGCTATTACTTGTCTGATTGCACAACAGAATCTGTCTCCAGAGCTCACTCACTCCCATGCCTGGGTTAATGCTAGTCTGTCGCGAGAAAAAAAGGAGAGGCCACGCTTGAGTCCCCCGAGGCCCCTGAGCTGCACACAGCCCTGTGCCTGCTGGCAGAAGTTGGCTCAGCCATACCACTCGGTACTTGCTGTGAATTTCCCGGGACAAAGCGGTGACCCACGTGCTTTGGGACAAACTGTCCTTTACAGTGTTGGTCCTTCCAGAAGCTCAGGCCCAGCCCGCTCTCACTGACTTGTGAATGGCACTTGTCACCTTCTGAAAGTGGAGGAGTGGGGAAGCAAATTAAACCCTTGAAGGCGAACTTGCTAGATGTTTGCATAACCCAGGCTGGAGAATTTCCTCTCGCTGAGATTGGAGGAGGCTGAATCGCAATGGGTCCCGCACTTTTCAGCCCCATTCTGCTCTCCACTCCCTCACTCAGGTCCTGTGGGACTTCCTGGTTCCCATTCTGTCCTGCTACCCTGGGCAGGTCACCTCTGAAAGAAGGGAGATGATGTTGAATGTGAATTGTACCCGGGTGGCGTCTACACAGATCAGGAGATAATCCAGCTAATTGGATCCTTTGAAGCTTACAAGGAAACATTCCACTCTGGACCTCAAATGCCCAAACTGCTGCCCACCCCCCCCCCCCACACACTCACACTCCTGGGGCATTCAGGCATCCCCGTGCAGCTCTGCCCCATCCCCCCTGCAGCACTCATGGGTCCAGTTCCTGCCCTCTCCACACCTGAACTACCATTTGCTTAATTCTTTAAAATCAACCACTTGCTTTCTCTTTAAGAAAATACATTGACTTAAAAAAGACAGCTTAGATTACCCCATAATTGGAAAGCCAATATCACATGTCATAAACAGAAGGTGACCGTGAAAATAAATACAAGGACACGAAGGGGATCACCAAAATCTGGTTTCCATCCTGCTGCCTGACCGGATGAAGTTTTTTTGAGATGGAAACTTTCTCTTGCTTTGTTGTAAAGATACCTGAGCCAGACTCAGTGAGCCCCGTCAAAGACATATCAGCACCCCGTGGAGACTTTCTCCTTCAAGTTGGCAGAAGAATGGAAAGGAGAAAGGGAGTGACTTTCTTGTCACTGAGGATTATTTAATGCTGTGTCTGCATCCACCCCAGGTCCTCTCAACCACTGGGGAAGGAAGGTTATGATGGTGAATGCTTAAGAAGAGCTTGCTGTGGGTTTGAGTCAATTCCAGGACATTCAGTGCACTACCTCATTTAATCCTCAACAACCCTATGAAGTAGAAGTAGGTGCTGTTATCATCCTCACATGGGACCCAGAGAGGTTAAGTAACTTACCAAAGGTCACACAGCCAGTGAGTAGTGAAGCAGGGATTTGAACCCCGAGCTCCCCAGCTCACTGCCTGGGAAGCACAGGTCTACACCCGTCAGGTCCAAGGACAATTGCTTGGAGTCTCTGTACTGGATTGAATAATGTCCTATCCAACCCCCCCTCCCAAATTTGTGTCTACCTGTGAAGGTGACTTTATATGGAAATAGGGTCTGTGCACATAGAATTAAATTAAGATGAGGTCTTACTGCAGATGAACGGATAAAGATGTGAGATACACACACACACACACACACACACACACACACACGTACACAATGGAATGCTACTCAGCCATAAAAAAGAATGGAATAATGCCATTTGCAGCAACGTGGATGGACCTAGAGATGATCATACAAAGTGAAGTAAATCAGACAGACAAAGACAAATATCATATGAGATCACTGATATGTGGAATCTAAAATATGGTACAAATGAACTTACTTCCAAACTGAAACAGACTCACAGGCACAGAAAACAAACTTATGGTGACCAAAGGGGAAAGTGGGGGAGAGATAAATTAAGAGTTTGGGATTAGCAGATGCAGACTACTATATATAAAATAGATAAACAACAAGGACATACTATATAGCACAGGGAACTATATATATTCAATATCCTGTGATAAACCATAATGGAAAAGAATGTGTGTG